TCTTTATTATTATTATTATTATTATTATGAAGGTGTGAAACAGTGTGATGTGTGAATCTCATGTTTTAACACCTTTGTTATTCACGTCAGACCTGTTTTGACATGTTGGTATTAATGATAATTGTGATATTAAAAAATGAAATATTCATATCGTATTAATAATATTATCGTCCATCCTACAGCTTTGGTCACAGATTCTACTTCTAGCTCATCTTTTGAGTGCAGAACATGTATTTGAATATCAACATATAAAGCAATAGTACTGATAATAATCCTAATGGATAATCATGTAGTGAAACTCTGACATCACACCAGCTTGACTGTGAATCTTATTTTTGCCTCCACTGTAAATATTCTGGTGAATTTGCAGTTATTAGCAGAGCGAGAATGTAGTTATGTCATCAGCGTTTCCTGAAAAAAAAACAAAAAAAAAACAACCAACACAGGAAATGGTGTGTCAGAAGAATGCACCTCCACCTTCCTCCGTTCTTACTTCAGTTTAATTCATTTGCCAAAAACGACACAAAGCACAAATTTCAAGATTAATCGCAGCATTTTTTATTTTTTCAAATGGAGCGGTGAAATCGTTTGGCCACAATAACTGTGTACTGAAAATGTGACGTTGTCAGTTTTTAACACTTTCTGTTTAGTTTACTTTGGTGGTGCTGGATTGCATTATATTCAGTTAATTAATTTGTATTACTCTGCCTCCTTCGTGTATGGAAATGGTTAAAAAATAAATAAATAAAAATAGACACACCTTTCTACCTTTAACTTTGATCCCACATAGAAACATAGTCACATTTATTCCTTCATTGTCACCAACAGCTGACCACTACACACATTGTAAAGTGGACCTTTTGGGCAGACTGGTTGTTTATGTTGTATGTTTTGTTTAAGCTACCATTTTGTTTTTTGATATTTGCAGAAACATGATGTGGATCTTCATATTTCTTTACGTCCTGTGCCCAAGCATCTGTCAGGTTTGTCGCATGGAACACAGATTGGATTCTAAAATTCAGAATTCTCTCATTACATTGCATTAAAATGAATTTCCTTCTGTTACAGGCGACTGTAAAAGGTAAAGTGATTTGTACGATTGTTCAAACGGGCATTTATTTGAAGCACAGCGTCGTTCTTGAACAGATAAAGTCTCTTCTGACGTCTCTCTGTTTTGCATGTTTCAGGAAACTCGACGAAAATCTACTATTTCAAACTGACAATAGACAAAAACGCAGTCGGGAACATAACCAAGCTGCTGACACCTTATCAGCTGAATGACACTCTGACAGTCAACGAACTGAAACAGACAACAAGTGAACAAACTTCTAATCCTCCAAATGCTGCATGTTCCCATTTTAACAGAAACATTCTCCAAGTGAAACCTTCTGTGCTTTTCTTGTCTTAAAGAGTGTCAGAGTGACTCAGAAAGCGTGACGTGTAGCTGTGAACCAGGCCACAGGTGGAGCGACGACGTCCGTCGGTCTTATAAATGTAACGACTCGTGCACCTTCCCCAGCAATGAAGCTCAGATGTGTGTTTCTGACGGCGCAGGTACATTCGACTGCCTTTGCACATTCATATACACAACATTGAAAGTAGCTTGTTTTTGCGTATTATTGCTCAATCATGGAAGTAAGACAAGAAGTCTGGGTTGCTCACTGTAAATAAAAATTCAGTAAAAACAACAAAACAAGCTAATCTGCCAACAAGGCGCCAGATTAAAATAGAATACTGTAACATTCAAAAACTGTAAGAACAGTGACGAAAACAGCAAATATCTGTAAAATAATTATGATATAATTATAATAATAATCATAATCGTAATCACAATAACATTTTTATCTGGNCACTTACTGTTTTAATGTATTTATTGTTCTACAGTTCAACTATAGTACACTTCAGCTTCACCATTTTATTACTGTGAGTCTCTATTTTCCAAAAGGAAGTATGGACTCACACAACTGCACGAACAAAACTTACTAATTACACAAACACCACGCAGTCTCTGTATTTGTGAGTCAAATTAGTGCCACATGACGACCTTCTTCTTACTTTGCATGTCTCCGTGCAGTAAAATCAGCCAGCTTCCCGTAAAACACTGTCTCCCACAAAGAAACTGTTTAGTGTTTTCATTTCCTCGTCAGCTGCAGCAGCTCCATTAACGTGCTGCTGACGTTCATGGGAACAGACGGATCCTCAGAACATCAGGAGACGCTGCTGCGGTGGTTCGCTGATGCACATTAGGAAAACCAGGTCAGCCAGCACATTTTCTACATTCATTATTTTTCAAAAAAATCAGGAAATGTTGATTTACTTTTCCTGCAGATAGGAGCCTTTACAATGAAACACAGCAATGAAAGGGGCTCGTTTTACACAGTAACTGCTGTTTTGGTAATTAAAGAGTTTTTATTTTAACGAGTATTTTTATATTTTTCAATCTTGTAAGTAATAAAAGAAGAGACGTCTGGGTTGCAAACTGTGAATAAAAATTTCAGTAAACAAAAATGGTAAAAATCCAGCAGCAAGATGCCAGAAAAAACAAACAAACAAACAAACAAACAAAAATCACAAAATAATAAAAGAATACTGTGACATTTAAAAACTGTGAAAACCGTGAAAATAACAGCAAATATCTATAACATAATGAGAGCTTTTACTGGTTTAGATACAATCAAACCGTGTAATTTTGTAGTCACACATTGTAAAACAACACATCACTATTTGTAATATATATATATATATATGGATTTTTACTGTGGACATTGTTTAAATTTTGTTCCCGTTTTTCTGCAGGCAACATGTAAGTTTATACTTGTTGTAATTTTAATAAATATTTTTTTGTTATTTACCATGACGGGGGAAAAAAATTAAAAATTTCTACAGTTTTTCAGCCCCTAACATACATGTTTATTCTTAAAAATAATGGTAAGCGCCAGTAAAACAACAATATGTTTTGCTTATTTATATACCATAACAACAAAAATGTAATTTTATGGTCGAGGGTTGTAAAGCAACAAATGATCATGAACAGAAATCCAAATGTATGATGTAGACAGTTTGTACAGTTTTGGCACATTTGTTTTTTAATGACTAACATATAAATTAATATATTTTTCCAGTGACTTTGCTGAATATTATCTGTGTATTACCAGAACAGGAAAAACCTGTAAAGCAAATAGAAAATAATGTCTCTGTCTTTCATAGACATAATTTTTCCTTTAAATATCAGTAAATATCTGTAAAGGAACTATATTTTTGTTGCTTATTTAAA